GCTCTTTTCCTCTCTAGCAGATCCTTGGTACCTTTCGAAATTCGTTCCAAGTTGCGAGGCATTGAGGCACTTTCACCACAACCTCTCAGTCCTCTAAGAAGCAGGTCGTAGTCTTTTGTTGAGTTCTCCTCGATGGGCCGGTCACAAGTGGTTAAGAGCTCTTTAATCTGACACCGTCGACTTCTCTCCTTCCTCCAACACGTTGGCAGATCTTCCATTTCAGCTTTCTGAATCCCACTTTTGCTTGAAGAATTTGAGCCACTACTGAAGGATGGTAACACTGAGATGTTCAGTATGCACCACCTTCGGTTGGTGAGAATGTGGTCGATCTCCGCATGATTTGTGTCGTTGAGTGACTCCCATGTCCACCGCCGGTGTGTTGTGGCGGATAAAAGCCCAACAAGGCGGTTATCACTCTCAGCTGCCTCACATCCGTCTTCCTGGACTTTGTTTTCTACAAGGCGATTACGCGGCAGTTGATGCCCCCTGCAGCTTCGAGAAGGGCGTGAAAATCGTTGGTAGAGACTGTCCTGGCGTTATAGATGTAGAGAATGAAACAATCTCCATGGCGAGTCGTTTGTCCTTTTGGTCCGAAATCCGTGGTCAACCGGACACTGGTCTGGATGAAATCAGGGCTTCTTTTTCTCTCACAAGCTGTACGGTCGATAAAACTTTTCCCCAAACATTAGCAGAGCCTTGCCAGGGCTTGCCAAGCTTTCAGCACAGAAACTGCTATAACTCGGAATATGTCACTTCTGAAAATCCTACAAATAAACTCGTGGCTGGACCACTGCTGAATCCGATCCGCTGAAGCTTTGCCAGTTTGTTTATTGATTGATTTTAATTCTCAGGCGGTTGTACAGGCTCAATTCACTGTGCCTGCGTCTGCGTAATCACCATGATTCTTCCATGATGAGGCGGAAAGCGACATGAGAAACGTCGTATAGAAATACGTCATTTGGCTCAACTACTTCATCGATTTTTGCCTAAGCATAATGAGGGGAGAATTCTTTGGTCACGGCACAAAAAGAAACGCTGGGAAGGAAAGTTGAGGTGTCAAAGATATGCGTACGTGACTCGGTATGGTTACCTCCCGCGTCTTCCCCATCTTCACTATAGCGCCGACTAAAAAAGCCTTGAGAAATGCGTATATAAAAGTAATGATCATGAAAACAATCATGAATCTTCAAATTTTCTCTCCCCCTTAGGACTAAAGTCAAATAGAAATGAAATCAAATAAGAGACCACATGGCAAAGCGCCAGCGTGGCGGAGCCAG